CAGACCACAACATACGGGTTTGACCGCACTTCCACACACACGCCTCGAGCGACCACAACATACGGGTTTGACCGCACTTCCACACACACGCCTCGAGCGACCACAACATACGGGTTTGACCGCACTTCCACACACACGCCTCGAGCCACGACCACACCATATGGGTTCGACCGCACTTCCACACACACGTACGCCTCGAGCGACCACAACATACGGGTTTGACCACACTTGCAAGACAGATAATCAAATTTTTGTTTTAATATTCCAAACATTCCGATTTCTACAATTTTCTTATTTCCTAACTAGCCAAGTAAACCAAAAATTCTCAGTCAAAAAATTGTTACTGAAGTAATACAGCATGCGTGATGTATTGGTTAACAAAGTATTTTGCTATGTACTGGTGAGTAGACAATATATATATAACCCTCTCCCACCTAACATACTTCACAAAATAGGTAAATTAGATACCCTTTATTTATTGTAGACAATTCTTCTTATTCTTTGAAATAATTCCCTTAAAACAAGGTGCAAAAGGCAACCAGATAGCATTAAAGTAAAAAATAACAACAATTTCTCTGGTCTCGGGTAGGCTTGAACCCCAAACTAAAAATTCCATGCAAAGACCATGCACCTCCTTTCAAAAGCCCCGAAAAAATTATTATATCTTAATTCTTTATCAAAATGCTTCCACGTACCTGTGAACCGGAGTAGTCAAACTCGCCCGCTTGGCCGATTGAAAGGCCTCCCGAACCTAGGATCAACACCTTGCGTAGCTTCTGCTTGTTGTCAGACAGCGCCCTCTGGGCCTCCCCTCTGGGCGCCTCTCTCGCCAGCCTTCCAATCGCGCACCGCGTCCAGGAAGACAGTGAAGAGGTCTTCGAGGTCCCTCGGTCCGGCCATGTGCTCCGGGTGAAATTGCACGCTGAAAAGAAAGACGCATCAATTTTTCCGGAGGTTTCCGGGACCTCGTCGTGATTTTAAAAGGCCCAGTCTCCACGTACCGCAAGTTGTTAATTAGCCAAAACTAATATTGCACCTCTGATCCAATCCATGAATAATACATTGAACTTGCACTTGAACTAAATGCAGCTCAGATCACAAGATAGTCATGAGTTCAATTTCAGGGTTTTATTAAGACCAAATATGATTACATGAATCACTTTGATAGCGGTGGAGCGAAGCATGTTGTATTCAACATTGGTCAGGGTCTGAGAGGGCGCCACCACGATGGACTCGCCCGTGTGGATGCCAAGTGGGTCAACATTTTCCATGTTGCACACCTGGTGGCCAATGACGGAAATGATTATAACGTGTCAGGATGGAAAATCGCCACTTTGTGATAAAGCATTACAAAATGAAGACAAAATGTTTAAATGTAGAACATTTAATTAAGGCAGTGATATAATGCAATTTAGCATACATGCATCTAACCATTGTGCCAATGTTCAATGACTAATATAATATATAATATAAACGAAATATAACAATATCAGTGTTATCACTGATATATATCACACAATATATCAAACAACATCTACAAATGCCCCACAGCTTCCCTTCCCTTTCCGTTTCCCTTTCCTATTTTGGCAGTTCCCTTTCCCTCATCTAGGCAATTCACTTTCCCACACCTTGGGAAACCCTCACTCCCACAGCCCATTACAACTTGGATATGACATAATATATTGTTAAGTGCGATTATGAATACTTATTAATTATATTAATATTAATATAAAATATAGGCATATATAGCCTAATGGCGAGTGTCATTACATTATCTGACCTTTGCATGGAAATAGATGTATACATGTTTATGTTTATTTCTATGGACTTACATAATAAAAAGTGTTAAAACGTAATATATTAACTAATATGAGATCTGACAGGTGGCGCAGTCAAAGATGATTGGAAACCCACGATTTTTATTACTATTATTATTGTAACTTATTAATCTTAATTATTATTTTAACCTAATAATTTTTATTTTTATTAGTAGTAGTAATAGTATTATTAGTTTAGTATTTGTATTATTTATTAGGAATATCTGGCTAATCTGACCTAATTTAAAATCTAATCTAAAAGACATGTGCAGTTCAGCCGGAACCTGCTGCCAAGAAACGGATACGCACACTTTTAGGATCGCATAGTATAGTCTAAAGAGCTCGCCTCATAGTTCACGGACATCACGAGTGATACGCTCGTCGAACCCGCGCGGGACAGCGCAGCAGATCGACCCGCGTCCCTGCACAGATGTACCGCGGCTTCGCTTCATCATTTCATGCACGACTACTTGTAGTAAGGCGTGACAGCGACTCACCGTGATGCAGTTGTCGTACGCGTCCCTCACGACCTCGTATTCGACCTCCTTCCATCCGCGCAGCGACTTGTCGATCAGCAGCTGGCTCGTGTGCGCGAACGCCGCGCTAGCCAGCACCTTCAGCTGCTCCCGGCTCAGCCGAGACCACCGAGAGCGAACGCCGCGCGAATCATCACAGGGTAGCCAAGCCGGTCCGCCGCCGCGATCGCCTGGAAAATGCGCAAAACACGTCAGACAACACATATCTACAAATCTAAAATCTCTATAAAATATAAAACAGCGATACATCTTCAGCGCCAGACATCAAACATCGGTTAACGGATGGCTGGTCGGCTGGGGAGGCCGACGACGTTGGGCGAATAAAATTTACGACGAGATTATCATCGTCGCCATACGTCTGCATGGCGTCTTGCATCAGGAATATGTTAAATGACTTACAGAAAAAACAGTCTTAGCCAACACAGATCATCATGATCACATCTGCACAGTCTCTTCCACGAGGAATATTACATCAAATTTATTATAGCCTATAACGTCTACAATCGCAACTTTCCGCACACACGCTTCGAGCAACCACAACATATACGGGTTTGACCGCACTTCCGCACACATGCATAGAGCAACCAAAACATACGGGTTTGACCACACTTCCGCACACACGCCTCGATCGAGCGACCACAATATACGGGTTTGAACACACTTCCGCACAGATGCCTCAAGCGACCACAATATACGGGTTTGACCACACTTCCGCACACACGCCTCGAGCGACCACAACATACGGGTTTGACCGCACTTCCGCGCACACGCCTCGAGCGACCACAACATACGGGTTTGACCGCACTTCCACACACACGCCTCGAGCCACGACCACACCATACGGGTTTGACCACACTTCCGCACACATGCCTCGAGCGACCACAATATACGGGTTTGACCGCACTTCCGCACACATGCCTCGAGCGACCACAACATACGGGTTTGACCGCACTTCCGCACACACGCCTCGAGCGACCACAACATACGGGTTTGACCACACTTCCGCACACACGCCTCGAGCGACCACAACATACGGGTTTGACCGAGATTTGTACTATGTTTTTATAAAGCAAGAGAATACTTAATTAAAATGGCAGAGAAGAAGAGAGTGTGATACAGTGATGATTCGCGGTAAAGGGGTATTGACGGTCACTATAGAAGCCCATGGTCACTGGCTCACCTGCACAATGGTGGCTACTGGGTCAGTGGCTGAAACGCGCTGTCTGAGTACTACAATGACTGATTCTTTTTTCCATGTTTTGATACTCTTAATGATATTTAAATGTAATAATGATTATATTTATTTATATATTCATGTCGCAATAATTTTCAATTATTGAAGATTAATATAAAATGAAATACTATAATGAAATTGATATATTAATATTAATAATTAGTGATTGTTCTCATATATTTAACACATATTTATGTGTCTGTTATGCCATGACTGTGGTGTTTTTCCCTGTTAGGCTACGGCAATCGTAGCCACAACCAACCGGCCCGCACCTGGCACGAGCGCTGCTTCATCACCACACAGAACCATGGCTTTGCTGTTAATGCCGAAACCCTGCCCGCTGACTGGAGTCCTCTCTTCACTAACGCTAACGACCATATACCAATGAGGGCATAGTCCATCAGAAGAAAACCGTTCTTCAGGTGAAAGATGTGTGCATCTGTATCAAATGGTCATCATTGCGTGAGGGAGGGAGTGCCGTTAGAAATTTTAAGTGTCATGTCATTCCCGGAAATAGGCTATTATTATGGATTCTAGGAATTATGGCTATATATATATATCATGTAATAATATTTGGTCCTAATATTAAATAAAACCCTGAAATTGAACTCATGACTATTTTTGTTATGATAACTGAGCTGCATTTACTTCATGTGCAATGTTCAATGTATTATTACATGGATTGGATCAGAGGTTGCAATATTAGTTTTGGCTATTAACAACTTGGCGGTAACGGGAGAATGGCCTTTTGAAATCCCAACCGAGGTCCCGGAACAAAAGGAAACCTCCAGAAAAATGGATGCGTCTTTGTTTTCAGACGTGCATTTCACAACCGGCAGCACATAGGCCGGACCGACGGGACCTCGAAGACCTCTGCAATGGGGCAGTGTCTTCGGACGCCGGTGCGCGCTGGAAGGCTGGTCGAGAGAGGCGCAGCCAGAAGGGAAGGTCGCAGAGGCACTGTCTGACAACAAGCAGAAGCTACGCAAAAGGTGTTGATTCTAAGTTCGGGAGGCCTTCAATCGCCAGGCGGCGAGTTTGGCAATACTCCGGTTCAAACAGTACGTGGAAGCATTTGCGATAAAGAAATTTAAGATATAAATAATTTGTTTCGGGTCTTTTGAAAGGAGGTGGTCTTCTGCACTGAACCGAAGTTTCGCGTTTGGGGTTCGAGCAATTACCCGGGACCAGAGCAAATTGTTTTTATTTTTACTTAATGCTGTCTGGTTGGGGTCGCTTTTGCGCCATTGTTTTAGGGTAATTCATTTCAAATGAATAAGAAGAATATCTAAAATAAATAAAGGAAATCTTAATTTACCTATTTTTTGTGAGGTATTGTTAGTGGGAGAGGGTTATATATATATTGTCTAACTCACCAGGTACACTAGCAAAATACTCTTGTTAACCAATACATCACGCATGCCTGTAATATTTCAGTAACAATTTTTTGACTGAAGAATTTTTGGTTTACATTGGCTCTAGTTAGGAATAAGTAAAAATTGTAGAAAATCGGAATGTTTGGGAATAACTTAAAAACAAAAATTTGATTATCATGTCCTTGCAAGTGGTGGTCAACCCGTATGTTGTGGTCCGCCGAGCGTACGTGTGTGTGGTAAGTGCGGTAGACCATTGGTGTGTCGTGCTCGACGGCGTGTGTGTGGAAGTAGCGGTCAAAAAACCCGTATGTTTGTGGTGCGCTCCGAGGCGTGTGTGCAGAAGATGTGGTCAAACCCGTATGTTGTGGATCCGCCGAGCGTGTGTGGCAGAAGTGTGGTCAAACACCGTATATTGTGGTCAGATCGAAGCGTGTGTGGCAGAAGTGTGGTCAAACGCCGTATGTTGTGGTCGCTCGAGGTGTGTGTGTGGGAAGTCGCAGTCAAACCGAGTATGTTGTGCGTCGATCGAGGCGGTGGTTTGTGGAAGTGGCGGTGAACCGTATGATGTGGTCGCTCGGAGGGCAATGTTGTGGAAGATGCGTCAACGCCGTATATTGTGTCGGCCGAGCCATCTGTGCGTGAAGTGTAGGTCAAAAACCGTAAATGTTTGGTCGCGTCGAGGCGTGTGTGTGGAAGTGCAGTCAAACCCGTAATGTTAATGTGTCAGCTCGAGCGTGTGTGCGGAAGGCGGTCAAAGCCTAATGTTGTGTCGCATCGAGCTGTGTGTGGAAGTGCGGTCAAACCCGTAATGATGTGGTCGCTGCGCAGGCATGTGTGTGGATAGTGCGGTCAAAAACCCCGTAATAGATGTGGTCGGCTCGAGGGCATGTGTGTGGAAGGTGGCGGTCAAACACCGTATGATGTGGTCGCTCGAGCATCTTGCGGAAAGTGCC